CAAGTGTTGGCCAATTAAGAATAACTTCTACCTTACTTTGATCCATCATGATTTTATTTTTTGAAATAACATACCCCAAAAACATAATACTAAAAGTAAAGAAATCACACTTCTGTATATTAGCATAAAGCTTTTGTTGTCTCAAAATAAGAAATATCTCTTTCAGATGATTCATATGCTCCTCTTCACTCTTATTATACACCAATATATCGTCAAAGGAAACTACAACAAATATTCTAATACATGGCTTAAGTATGTGATTCATAAATCTCATGAAAATGCTAGGAGCATTAGATAGCCCAAATGACATAACCAACTATTCATATAAGACTTCTCTAGTTTTAAATGTTGTTTTTCACTCATCTCCAAGCCTCATTCTTATTTGGTGATAGCCACTCCTCAAATCAATTTTAGAGAAAATATAAGCACCGCATAATTGATCAAGTAAATTATCTAACCTTGGAATAGGAAAACGATAATTTACTATGATTTTGTTGACACGGGAGTATCAAATTTGCTTCAATTTGCTTATATGGACCTTGCTGATTATATGATATTTTTTTCAGCCAACAATGTTGCCTCATAATCTTCAACTCAACCCACTCAAATATGACACCTCATTAGCATATTCTCTGCATAAAGTTCAAAACTTTTTTAAGATGCTTTTCTTCGTGACTAAGGAATGCATTAAAGGAGTTAATTAATAGTTGTAAAACACTTAGTTTCGAAATTCCATATGCATGAAGGGTTGTTTCATGCACTAGTACTTATTTTGGTATTTAGGGCTTAGAAAGGATCTTAGAAATTGATAATATTTTGATAGAAGCTCTCTTGGAGTTCTCCCTTAAACTCTATATCTCTTGGATGCTTCCTTGAATGGTGAGTCTTTTATTTTCAGTTATGTATCCTTGTTTAATTTCTTTTAGGTGATAAATTTTTTGTTTCTCTTTGTGATTTTAAACTTGGTGGTGAGCTATTTTTCTATCTTATTGAAGTATTGTTGTAAGTTCATACATTTTCTATCTGAAAAACTATACCATCGGTTTTCTTTCGATATCTATTCTACTTTACCCCCCCTTTTTTGTATCACCTTGGAATCAGTTTGGCATCAGAGCTAAATGCTAGAGATCATGGCAAGGCTGGATGAAAAATATATAGTTGCTAAAGGTAGTTGCCATGAAGATGATACTGAGTCATTGAGGCTGTAGCTACAAAGATTGCTGTGTAATCTACATGAAAAAAATGAAATAATCGAATAACTTCAAAGTAGACAACCAACATGAAATGATGTCCATGAATTTACTTTTGATGATGATACACCTCCTCATCCAAGGGAGTCAAGAAGATTTCGAGCAAGACATAGAGTTCAAGACGAGTGGTAGAACAAATACAACCCAAGATTGTATATTCCATAGTTTGAAGGCAAAATAAACGTTGATGACTTTATCGATTGGATAAATACAATAGAAAGAATTTTCGATTTTCATGAACCACCAGAACAAAAAAATGTAAAACTTGTGTCACTCAAACTTAGACGGAATGCATCTTTTTGGTGGGAAAATATGAAGAAAGAAAGAAAACGTGAGGGGAAGAGTAAGATCGTGACATGGGAGAAAATAAAAAGGGAGCTGAAAAGAAAATATTTACCTCACAATTATAGGCAAGAGATCTTTATCAAAATTCATGATTTCAAGTAAAAAGATCTTAGTGTGGAGAAGTACACTACATAATTCGATAATCTGATGTTAAAAGGAGAGCTTGTGAAACTGAAAGAGCAAACCATTGCAAGATACTTAAGAGGTCTAAAATTTGAGATTGCTAAAATGGTTCAACTACAGTCATATTGGTCTTTAAATGATGTGAGCAAGCTAGCATTAAAAGTTAAAAAGCAATAAAAGTTTGAAAACAGTTCTCGGTACGGTTTAAAAAGAAAGCTATACAAAAGGAGGAAGTTTCAATCTACTGTCCAAAGCAAGGTGATATCGAAGGTGCAAGAAAAGGATGAAGAATCTGCTGCTAGTAAAAAAATGCCTAATTCTTTTACCCCAAGTGGTTGAAAATGCTTCAAATGTCATGGTTTTGGGTATATTACTTCAGATTGTCCAAATAGGAGGATTGTAACTTTGGTTGAAGATCATAGTGATGGAGGAGTAGATGAAGCCGACGACGAACCAAAATATGATGAAGATGAGGAAGAGGTTACTTATGCATATCATGGTTTGTCTATTGTATTGTAGCGTAGCTTACAAGTGTCTTATGTGGCCAAAGTTGAAAGTTGGGTGAGAAAATACGTGTTTCACACTAAATGCACGTCTCTTGGCAAGGTGTGCTTGGTGATCATCGACAACGACAACTTTGAGAACATGGTATCTTTGGAGATGGTGCAGAAGCTAAAGTTGGATACAATCCCTCATTCACATTCATACTAATTATGTTGGTTGCAAAAAGGAAATGACATCAAGGTAATTAAAAGATGTTTAGTTTCATTTTCTATTAGCAAGTATTATAAAGACGAAGTATGGTGTGATGTTGCTCCTATGGATGTTTGTCATTTGCTATTCGGAAGACCTTGGCATTGTGATAGAAAGGTATTGTATGATGACTACAAACATACTTATTCTTTTAAGGTGAATGAAAAGAAAATTATCTTAGCTCCAATACAACTTTCCAAAATCAATGAACCAAAAAAAGAAAATTAGCACTTTTATGTCCTATGATAAATGCAAAGGTGAATTAAATAAGGGTGGTCATGTTATGACTCTAGTGGTAATAGAGGAAAATGAACAACACAATGGGATACCAACAATCATGAAACAAATCCCGGAGGAGTTTAAAGATGTTATACCGGAAGAGATTCCACATGACCTTCCACCTTTGAGAGACATCCAGCATCACATTGATTTTATTTCGGGAGCTATTCTACCTAATAAGGTAGTATACAGAATGAGTCCCAAGGAACATGAAGAACTTCATAGGCAAGTTGATGAATTAATGAAAAAATGATTAATTCAAGAAAATATGAGTCTAATACCAATCTTGTTGATACCTAAGGATGATTCTAGAGAATATGCATGAACAGTTGCACCGATAGAACGCTTGAGCCTCCTAAGAGTCCTAAGTTGGAGTCAGAATCTTTTGCAAGATGGCAAGCAGGAGAGGCATTCACTGGTCACCCTATGCAACTTTGATGCTCTCTCCAAGAACAGAGTTGCAAAGAGACAACTGGCCACTTCAGATATGGCCACACACATTGTTTTGGTTCTCGTCATGGAAGCAATAGGCTGCTCAAATAGGTTCCTCTCACACTGTTGCATTAGAAGGTAGCAATATAATGCACATAAAAGTAAAGAGCAGTGAGTTAAAGCTCCAAAGTAGCAGCTTGCTCACTCATACATGCATCACAAGTTTATAAGAATGGACACATTTATTTGTTCCACATGAAGCTTCTTAATTTATTTATCTCTTGCATGAATTTATTCTATAATTTCATTCAAGTAATGGGAAGAATTCTCATTAGAAAACATAAATTACAAAGGCAAATATCATTACGTTCTAGTTTAAGTCCTACTAAATATCATAAATTTGGATGATAACAATTACAACGTCTTAGATCCCTAATCCAACAATTAATCCCTGCCTAATCTCATCTAACTATGGAATCAAGAGTGCTAACTGCTCTAGCAAATAATCAAAATCAGATTGGGTCACGCTCATCTTTGGGCTCGGGTCAAAGTTTAATATAAAATATCACAAGCATGAATAATTAAAATTTTCATGTATCATGTGGATCATCATATATCACAAATAATTAAATTCCTTTGGGAGATTATCCTAGTCATGTCTTATGGCACAAGCATGCTAATGTAGACTAATAGATAGCTTAATTGGATAGAAAAAAAGAAGAAGATGTTCTTCATCTTTATTAAACCAATAAATAGCTCCACTGTCTTGAATCTCTCATGCTACTGCAATGCAGACTAGGAAATAGCTCGTGTGATTTCCAATGTCAACAAGGAAATATGATGCAATAAAATGGTCCTTGGGGTACTTCAATTTTGACAACAAATGTAATTCTCTAATTTAGTCCCACATAAGATGTGATAAAAGATTTTGAGTTAGTTTATAGAGACAGATAAATTTATTATTATTAATTTAAGCTTAAATAATTCAAACAAACTGAATATTGCTAGTCCATTCAACACACTTAACAAGAGCTTAAAGGTGACATCTCACATCTGTATCTTGTAGTAAGAAAGGATGTGAGATAACAAAAGGATCTCAAAATAGTCCTAAAAAATTTCTGAAGTTTTATTAGTAGTTAAATAAATCTTGACTATTGCAGATTAGCACAATTATGGAGAATTGTTTAGGTAAATGAGAAAAAAAAAAAAGGATTAGCACATACCATATTACAGTCATACAGACATTATTCAAAAAATAGCATTGTGATTTAACTAACGAAATCATATTTATTGTTCTAATGCACAAACCTACATACATATATACATGTTTATTTGCAAGATTTTGGTATGATTTGGACGCCAAAATCTAACCAATAAATTATAATTCCATTAGTTGGAGGAGATTATTTGCCAGACTTTATTTGCTTAAAATGTACAAACATACATACATGTTTATGCGTGTATATGTTGGCCAATGGATTGATGAGCTAAGATTTTGGTACGGTTTGGAGGCCAAAATCTAACCACTCCTCTCCCATGAAAGAAGTCAATACACGCAAACTCCCACCACATTGCTGTCACTGGTTTAAGTAGGCAAAGTAGGTGATCAAACTAACGTGCATACGCAAATCAATTGCTTCATGAATTGGATAGTGAACAAAAGACATGAATAGGGTTCATTTAGTAGGCTTGTGCCAATTTGACTGTCCTTATATTAGCATTAAGATGGAAAGAAATGCATTAAGTTGTAGTAATTTGAATCAAAAATTAAATTCTTTAAATTCTAAATTATGATCAGAAGAAAAAAGGATTCTTAGAACTGAGATAGTGATGAGTGAGCTTTCTTGGTGGAGACTCGAGAAAAGCAAAGGTAAGAGAGCTACCAAGAACTACCCATGGCAGCATTCATAGGCTTCCCTGCACAAGCTTCCTCTCCTACGGACCATTCCCAGCCACCACCTTCTTTATAAACTCTACAGGAGAGTGCACATGAAGTAAGCTAAGCCTGGAGAGGTAGGCTTGTCTAGAGAGAGAGAGAGAGAGAGCAGCAGCAGCAGCAGCTGCAGCCGGAGGCAGTGACAAAGATGGTGAATTGGGTGGAAGCACAGAAGCCCATCTTGCACTGGCTGGTGCGGGGTGCGGGGCTGCGCCAGCAGACCATCGAGATCGAGCCCGGCACTGTCATCAGCATGTGGGTTCCCAAGGAGAAGGTCATGGCCAACAAGAAGAAGGCCACCAACAAAGAAGTAGTTCCTGACCTGAGTAGCGATGGCAGCAGGGACGAGGAGGAAGACAAGAGGAAGAAGAAGAAGAAGCAGCGAGGCAAAGAGAAGGAGAAGCCAGCGGTGGTACTGGTGCACGGATTCGCAGCGGAAGGGATCGTCACGTGGCAGTTCCAGTTCGGGGTGCTGGTGAACCAGTACGAGGTGTACATCCCCGACCTGTTCTTCTTCGGGGAGTCGACCACCGCCGCCGCCGACCGCTCCCCGGCCTTCCAGGCTGAGTGCCTGGCCGCGGCGCTCGACAAGCTCAGCGTGCGGCGGTGCACCGCCGTGGGGTTCAGCTACGGAGGGATGGTGGCGTTCAAGATGGCGGAGCTGCGACCGGACCTGGTGCGCTCGCTGGTCGTCTCCGGCTCCGTCTTCGCCATGACGGACTCCATCAGCAGGGCGACGCTGGACCAGCTCGGCTTCGCCTCCTCCTCGGAGCTCCTCATGCCGGAGTCCATCAAGGGCCTCAAGGCCCTGCTCTCCGTCTCCATGCACAAGAAGCTATGGTTCCCGGACTTCCTCTACAAGGACTACCTCGAGGTACTGACTGCATGCATGCAAATGCCTGCTGATTCCATCCACTGATCGGTGTGGATATGAACAGGTGATGTTTAGCAATCGGAAGGAGAGGGCAGAACTGCTCGAGGGTTTGGTGATCAGCAACAAAGATGCGAAGGTTCCCTCTTTGGATCAGGTATGTGTGCAGGTATCCGATTTCTTCCATTACCTGCATTACTTCAAGGTTAATTTCCTGTTCACCAAAAATGTTGGAGATATTTCTACACATATATGTATAAACTTGTACACAAAAAACATACAATCCTTTGCGAAGCCAACCTCTTGTATGCTGCCAAAATGTGGAATTGAAGAGCATGATTATTCTTGGTGTTTTCATTTTCACATGATGCAGAGGATACTCTTGTTGTGGGGAGAGAATGACAACATATTCAACCTAGAGCTTGCCAAGGACATGAAAGAGTAAGTTTTGAATCCATCATCATTCTACTTCCATCTTTTTCTCTTCAAAAAAAAAAAAAGGCCAGTCAATATAACAATTAATTATGCTTAAAAGTGAAAACATTTGGCTGTCATTCTTCTACAAAACCATGATAAAAATATCATTGTTTCTCATCTAGTTAGACAGCATGAAGTCATATACTGCAGTAAAGTTCGTAGACAATGCATAGAATTTGGGGAATAGAGGGAAGGAAATATTGTCACACAAGTTGTTACATAAGAATAATAGAATATGACAGATTTCTTGTGCAATGACAACTTGAATGAGCTGATAACAGAACAAAGGGCAAAGAAACAAGAATTTCAATCCTACACCTTTTGCATTATTCACGCAGAAATCTGCTGACTAAAACAAATCTATCAATGTCTTTTTTGTTCATAATATGCAGACAACTGGGCGAGAAGGCCATAGTACAAAGCATAAAGAAAGCAGGGCATCTTCTTCATGTTGAGAGGCCCTGCGCTTACAATCGCCACCTCAAGAAATTCCTCGCACTCGTAAAAGATGAAGGCACCGAGGAATGATCAAGTTCAAATGTCCTTTATTCAATTATAAGTTTGTGGACCAGCATTACTATTTATTTCTATCATTGCATTGAATAAACCATGTTCTTGAGCTTTCCAGTTATATTTCATAATTAGTTCCATTGTTATTCTGTTGACTTGTGAACTTGCTGAACAAACAGCTTAAAGAACTTGTAATACTAAAGGGGAATTGGTTTTCTCAAGTGCCTCGTTACCAACATCTCATGTTTGAATACCCTCGGTGCAGATCTTGCCCACAGTGAAACATGCTCGATAAATGCATTATCTTGTTCGCCACTAGAATACGCCACAAAAAACCTAATAATAGAGAACTTACCTGATAGACTACTGTGATTCCTCGAGAGTTCCTCCCTTGGTCTCAGGCACCCATATTATCACTACAGTAATGTGAAAGCAGTCATGGTCATGTAGATAGTAAAGATCACCAGTGAAAGAGAGGAATGAAATTAGATGCAAGTACTTGGAGTGGTATCGGTATCTTGAGAGCACACATTTCAAACTCCGGTGCTCCAGCCCAGAAGTAACTTTGCAATCATTGTTATCACAAATGATGTCAACCGGTTGGCAAGTATTCTGGAACGATTAGCAGGGCTCTTGATATTAACAGGAAGTATCTGCAATAAAAGAAAGAATGAATGAACCACAAGAAGAAATATCCACAATCATCATCAATCTAAAAGATTCATAGAGCATTGCAGTTTGGAGTCTGGGCATGAAAATTTTCAATAGATATGAGGTCTCAAAGAATCAAGTAATAGGAATTGAAGAGTGAATAAACATAATGAAGACTCCAGAAGCACATACAACATGTTCCTTATCAAAAATAGAGCAAACATAATAAACATAAAAGTAAAAGTTGATTTAGTTCATCTAGTGATATGGTCATCCTTAGAGCTCAATGGCGAGAAGATTCAAGTATCTAACAACAAAATAATTGTGACTTATAGAATGCTATTATTGTTGTTGTAAAATGATTTGATTTTTTTATGAGTATATCTTGCAACAAAGGCAAGAGCAAAAAGTTAATAAAATAAATTGCATACTTTCACGCTTAGTGTCATGTGTCTTGAAAAATAAAAAAATCATAAGCATATGCATGCTTATTATGTATCATTATTTACATATGTATGTAGAGATTAATAGGTAATGGTCCACATGTTCAAATAAACATACATATTCATAAGGTAGGCTTGCAAAACAGATCTCATATGAATCTAATTTTATTTGACTACTAATTCTGATCGTAAGGTATAATTAGAAGTACTATATTTATCTTACAATATGAAAAATAAAGCAAGATTGAAAATCCATGATTTTAGTATATCAAAAAACTGATTTTAGTAGATTGAAAATCCTGATCGGACAGCAATAACTACTACATTTTTTAAACCATTTCAAAACTTCAATTTCTCGAGCCATTTGCTGGCAGATTTGAAAAATGTTGCCTGGAAAAAACAGGAACCTGTTGATTGACTTGATTCCACTTTGCTGCTGCAGTGCATGTAGATCAATGCCTAATGGGATTGGTGTCCTGGTTGATCAGGCCACTGAATTCTGCAAAAAGCAAGATAAATTTAGTACCATACGAGCAGCCTGAAGTTAAATTTAGTATCTCGGAGATTCTGATATAAAAGTACAGACAAGGATTTCGCATGGTGAGATTCCTCACAACCATGGTTTGTTAGAGTTATTTGATCTAAGATGCCTGAAAAAACTCATAGAATTTGCAGTTCAATAACATTAAATTGAAATAAGGAGCACAAGTGAACCAATATAACCATAGCAAATTTGTGTCCAGAACAGCAAAGAAATCTACACAGAGGTTCAGATAGAGACATGAGCATCATGAACACTTGTCAGTCGAGATTTGTACTCATTTTGAGTTATCCAAACATAAGCGAAAAGGTACAAGACAATAGCAAGATTTTCGTCTCAAGACAACTCATAACTGTTGCCTTTTACTTTGAGGAGCCTCCACCGAACAAGCATACCCATCAGATAAGCCAAAAAAAGGTCAATGGTCACAGAAAGCTACGAAATAAGAAAGCTAGAATGAATAAGATGCAGAACAATCATAAGTTTCGGAAGCATGGAATGACCTGATCCACAGAGCCGAGTGCCCCTCTCAAGTTCTTAGGAACAATCTCTGATAGTTCTTGGGAACTATCAGGCAAGTGATGAGACGTCTATAGATCAAGAGTCGGACCGCATAAAACTCCACCAAAATGGATCAAACGCTTGCAGAAGGATGGTAACATACTGTCTAGGAGCTAACACTGACACTGAACCCTTCCAACAACAATCACGTCAAAGACTCATCATGATCAGATCCTGACGGGAACCAGAAAAAAGGTCAGATCTGCTTCGCTCCTTTGCGCCCGATGTCCTCCGCAATCTGTCCGCTGGAAATATTCCCCACCATGGCTCCGATGTTGGACAGAGAACCAAGAGTCGAGAACTGGCACCACCAACACACATCGCCGTCACGCCAAGCAGTAAAGAAACCGTCACACCAAAGAGAACCGGAAGGGAGAGGCCGAGGTTGGCAATGATCTCGTCCAGGGTGAGGGAAAGTGTAGCGGGCGGTGAAGCCCAACTGGATGAGCCAAGGAGGACGACGAGGGTGCAGAGGGCGACGGAGATGGAGCCGTCGCGGATCGGGATGGATGTTGGCTCTGATAACTAACCTTTTTTTTGTTTTTGTTTTTGTTTTTTTTCTTTCAAGTAACTACCAGTTTGGTTGTCTTCGAGTATCTATTTATATTAATTAAAAAAATAAAATATAAATTTTTAAGAAATAAAATTTTTTTTCATATCTCAATAATTTTTTTTATTATCATCTATTTATTTTAATCTAAATTTTTATTTTTTATTTTATGTAATCTTAACTATTTTAATTGATCTTATCATACTCTTTAATTCAAAATAGTTATAATTTAAAATTACCTTCAAAATAATAAAAATTTTATTTTGCTAAAACTTTTATAAAGATATCGACAAGTTGATCTTTGTTGCTATAGTATTTTATTTGAATTTTTCTTTTATCAATCAATTCATAAATAAAATGATATCGAACTTTAATATGTTTAATGCATTCGTAGAATACAGGATTTTTCATCATTGTATTAATAGATTTATTGTCGCAATAAATTTTAGTTGGTCCATCTTATTTTTTTAGATCTATTAGAATTTTTCGAAGTCAAATTGTTTGACATGTTATACTTATAGCCACAATATACTTCAATTCAGAGTTTAAGAGAGCAATATATTTTTATTTTTTTATTATCTATAAAATCACACTAGAGCCAGTATAAATCCTAAAGTATTTTTTCTATCATTTGTACATAATTTAAAATATTTTATCTACTCATAACAGATGCCATACTTGAGAGTTCCCATGTATCTAAAAACTCATTTAGTTGTCTTTAGGAATTTATTGATGCTTACTGATTTTTTTACTTCATTCATCGTAATTAATGCTTTTTTTTTTCTCTTGAATCCTTATTAAAACCCAAGTTAACAAAGACAGGGTCATTAGTTGTACCTTTAGATAATGTTGACTTTTTTTTTTTTTTAGCTTCTTAGTTGTAAGCTTGCTATTATCAGAGTTCAGGGCCTTATCCTTTTCATATAGATAAGAGATATCTAATGAAGGACTCAACAATATAAGATATCCAAATAGTCTCTTCCATACAAGAATAACTAAGGAGGCATAAGTTCTTAATCATGTCCTTAAGATGATTAAGTGGATAAAGAGGCTCATAAGTCTAGGAATGGTGCTAGATGATAGCCTGTGTATATCTTGTACTTCAGTCCCTCACAAATTTATTTTCAAAGTTTACAATAAATTTTAATATAAACAAATTTGAAGTGACTCTCCTTGATATTCTAAATATATTAAGGGAGGCTTAGAGTACTATCAAGAAAGAGAAGTCAATTCTCTATGTTGGTGAGATCAGAAAGAAAAAAAAGGCAAAGAAGTCTCTTAAGAAGGGCAAGGGTAAAGGCAAACCAGAGAAAACAAATATAGCTAAGAAGGACCCGATAAAGAACAAATGCTAGAGCTTCCACTATGGTAAAAACGAGCATCGGAAGATGAACTACAAAGAGTACTTTGTAGGAAAAAGGTGAAATAGAAGCTTAGAAAAACTTTAGGTATGTTCATGATTGATCTTCATCAGTCTAAAAATTATGATATTACATGGGTATTGGATACCGATAATGCATCTGATATCTATAATTTGTTGCAAGTTCGGGCAAGACTTAGAAGATTGGTGAGAGGCAAGGTAAACCTTAGGATGGGAAATAACGCAAAAGTTACTATTATTGCCATCGATGATGTTACCATATAATTGTCTGGTGGAGCTATTCTTCCATTAGATGCATGTTATTTTGTTCTTTTGATCATTAAATATTTTTTTATTTTTTTATTTAATAAATAGTGTACATAAATTAGTTTTTAAAAATAATAGTTGTTTATTAATTTTAGATGATGAGATCATTAGTAGAAGAATATTAAATAATAGTCTATTTATATTAGATGTTGCTTCATATGCCATGAATGTTGGTGTGTCTAAGAGGAAGCGAGATGAGGTGAACAATGAATATATGTGGTACTATAGGCTATGTTGGGAAATTCTTGGGGGCGACATCACATGTACAACGGAATAACAGAAAACAAAATCCTCAATTTCCCAAAGATTTGTTCGTCGTCGTGCGAAGATTGATGCGCAAAATTCGAAAAATAAAAAATTACGTATAAGATAAATTGTGTTACCTAGGAAGATCGTATATCCCTGAATCCCTACAGATCTCTAGGAGAGGGCGAAGGAGGTCAAGCGTCCTCCTCTCTAGTGGTGATCCACACAACAGGGCTGCGACGATGCTCCTCAAAATTTCAAGCCTGTTTTGAGGTGGAGAAGGGGGAGGAGAATAGGAGAGGCAAGAAAAGGCTCTAGCCTATGAACCACTGAATCCCTCCTATTTATAGAGGTCCCCCGTCAACTTAACCATAATAGATCATCCCCTATTGGGTATTGGATCTTCATCCAACTACCCAAGCCTTTTAGATTAGTGGATCTCTATCCAATAATCTCTCATGGGCTTTTATTGGATCTCGTCCATGGGATCCAATAATTCAGAGGCTTATTGGATATCCAATAAAATAGGGGCTCCGACGGATATCTCATATTCGAACCTCTACTCATCGCAACGCCTACCATATGTGTGTGACCCTCTAGGCCCAATATCGAGCTGGTCGTGAGTCATACTTGTCATAACTCCTTTTGGCTCAGTGAATTATTATCTTCATAATAATTCATTCGACTCATCGACTATGGACGTACTAGGTCACTACGCTGCAGTCCCTAGATGATATAGGGGAATCTAATCTATTGAACTTGTCTGTCCTCAATTACCATATATCTATAGTCTATCATTCATCTAATACCCCAAAGACAGTATGCCGGGTATGGTGCTATCAGACTCATACGGTTTCTACTCGAATTTTGCTCTAATCGGATTCTCCCGGAGAACTCTTTCTCTCTCAATCCGAATGAGCCTGACCAGGGATTTTTCTGAGCAAAACCACATAAGATATTCCTCTCATAACACCGAGAGTAGATGATCCTTTATTACTATCCAATACTAATGTGTTATCATAAGAGTCTGACAAATATAGACTGATCATGAATGTACCTGAAGCTTCTCCAAGCTTCTGTTTCACCCTCTCTACAAGGTACTCTTTACATTTCCTCTTCCAGTGCCCATCTTTACCACAATGGAAGTACTGGCCTTTATCCTTTGTCGGGTCTTTCTTAGCAACCGTTGCTTTTCCTAGTCAGCCCTTGCCCTTGCCCTTGCCCTTGTTAAGGGACTTTTCTACTTTCCTTTTCTTTCTGGTCTTACTAGTATAGAGGACTGGCTTCTCCTTTTCTTGATAGTACTCTCTGCCTCCTTCAACATATTTAGGAGCTTTGGGAGAGTCACCTCAAGTTTTTTTATATTAAAATTCATTATGAACCGTGAAAATGAATATAGTAGGGATTGAAGCATAAGATCCACACGCAGGTTATCCTCTAGGACCATTCCTAGACCTATGAGTTTCTTTATCCACTCAACCATCTTTAGGACATGGTTTTGAACTGGTGTCCCCTCAATTATCTTAGCTAGGAAGAGGCTCTTGGATATCTCATATTGTTGAGTCCTATATTTCTCAAATAGTTTACAAACATATAGTAGTATAGATCTGGCATCCATCTTTTCATGTTGTCTTTGTAACTCAGGAGTCATAGAGTCCAACATGTAACACTAAGCAAGAGTGGAGTTATCAATATACTTAATGTAGCAAGCGATCTCATCCTCGCTTGCCCCTTCCTCAAGCGTAGGTATCACTATATTAAGGACGTATGTGATTTTCTTCGTCATGAGAACAATTCTCAAGTTGCGGAGCCAATCCGTATAATTTGGACTAGTGAGGTGATTTGACATCAAGTATGCCACGTAAGGGATTTGAAAGCGATAATTTCCGAAAATAAAGATATGGTAGAAATAAATAACATGCAGATTTTGCAGAAAATAAACAATCAAGATATGGACTTCTATCTTAATATGCTCTCACTATTTTATTGACGAGTCACGTGACACCCTCAGCATATGAAATAGAAGTCTCCGATAGACTTCTAGTGGGGATCAGGATCCAATCAGCGCCTTAGTGTAACCTCGAAAGACTCGACCAATCATACTTAAGCCTAAAGGTAGGCAACTCTTGTCGATCACTACTCCTTGTGATTCCTATCCTATTTGGCCTCCGAATCACCATGGTCTCGAGGGACACAACCAACCATGATGTTCGGTTAAGTCAACACCATTGTTACAAGATGAGTCTGATTCGATGATATACCCTCGAGAGACTCGACCAAGCATACCATATCCTCAAGTCACCGGTGACATCTCTATGTCGTAGGCAAGATACTAATCGCGATATGGGTGAGCCTCAAGGGACTCGACTAATTCAACCTACATCGGGAATCGGTCCCTACTTATAACGATGAAAGGCCACGTGGGTTAATCTAATTGCTTCACGTTTACCAACTTAATATTATCGAGAGAGGGGTTTCTATGATTTGGTCTCCAAATATGACATATCACACATATATATATTTAATATATATCTACATCACATACAAATATATATACATATCTAGTAGGTGTATAAGAAATCATACCAGATGATCATGGACCACAGCCTAATATGATCAGGCCCGAGCTAGTGGGCCTAATCACTCACATCAAGATCTATGTGTGCAGCGGTGCATCTCCATGCCTTATGATCATCCATCTCGTGCTCGTCGGTTCCGTCGACATCTCAATACATCTTAATGCATCGTGATCGTCCGTCTCATGGGTCCCGCTATCGCTTCTACACTCCCGTTATGCCTCCTCGTGTGATTACAACTTAATTAAGGACATGTTGAAAATTTTCTGAATTCTTAGGGGTATTTTTATAATTTATGTAAAAGGATAGAACTAGAATTTCTCAAATTCTGAGAGGTAAAACTATCTTTTGCCCGTAGGCCGCACTCGTGGTTGGGGCACCTGCGGGCTGCCAGTCCCCTCCCCGCCGATCGTAGGCCACCGACTGGTTGCTGTAGGCGCACGCTTGCCTGCCTGCGTCCACCGCCCTTGCGGCTGCGGCTGTCGCTGCAGCGGCTGCACGCACGCAGATGACAGCGTTGCCATTTGCGAGGGCAGCAAAGGCAGCAATAGTTGTGTCCTTCCTCGTTTTTGCGTCA